AACTGCGATAACAGTTTGGCGAACCCCCCTTTATATTGCCGCCCTGCGCAACAGCTATTAGCGACCGTGCTAGTCATGCTAATCAAAAAAAACTGGCGAAACGTACACGCATCAACAAAAATTTAAGTAGCCAACATAGTACACGGAAATCTTCAAGGCCTCATCCACCTGCAACTACCGTAACAACAAATCAACATCGTCACCAATCACAGAAAAAACAGCAACTGGAACACTCTACACCAAATTATCATCCACATCAGCACCATCACCATCGCCATAGCGTGCAGGATCAGCAACAATCGCCTTCAACCAAACAACCTGCTGGCAACAGTACTACAGGCGATAATTTCGGCACAGATGCTACCGTAACTGCAACAGCTCAGCATAGTAAATCTTGTTTTCAGCCTGCTCCGCAAGCGTACATAAACCAGGTTCCAATAAATCTAGCATCAAGCGGCCGCTCAACGATGATAAACAGTGAATTCGAATTCTCTACCAACACGGGTGGTGGAAGTAATAATGATGGCAGCAGTAGTCGAACACCTTTCGACTTGGCCACGGAAGCGTTAAGAAGTTCACGACCCATAGATCGCGAAAGGTTGCTAAACTTGTTGCAAAGAATCGCAAATGAAAATCAACAATATCGGATGCAAAATCAACTACTCAAAGGGTTGCTCGACTTACGGAATGAACAGATTAGACAGCTTAGTCACAAGGTGCAAGTTCGATGACACCAGCTAGAAGACAGGGCGGAAGCTAGGAGTATAACAAGCCGAAGATATTCTCTTCTCTAAAACCTCTTGAGTATACACCGAATCTGCCCGGCTAACTCAGTCGGTAGAACAGAGACTCTTAAACTCAGAGCGTGGGTCGAAGCCACACGTTGGTCCGTAGTAGTCGGCCGTCGAGGAGTATAGTCGGTCTGTCCGCGGACTATTTGACGTACACATTCCATATCGCAGGCGATATCGATGGGTCCGAGCTGTAACGGCCGCGAACAAACCTTGGGTAGGGTGTCTGTCGGTCTGTATCAACCGCAAGTATCGGAATAACATCATGCCGTTAGACAAAATCATGCGATTTTGTAGTACTGTTTATAAATCACATGATCTTGCGGGATATGTTTATTTTGCTCTTCTCTGATTTCCTTGTTTACAAGTACAGGCAAAATCGTATGATTTTGCGGTACTCCTTTTTTTTCCTTTTGCTTTTGCAAGCATAGGCAAAATCGTATAATTTTGCGGGATCTATGCTTGCTCTTGTGAGAGTAGCGGCAAGCCGGTATAGAGAGAGCAACAGGAAGAAGAAGAGGGAAATTGAGTAAGAATGAGAAGCCTGTCTGCTTTTTAATTTCAAGATAGCGTAGAGAACTGTTTGGCATCTGGTGAAGTTCGGACGGGCTTTCGAGCTCAATATAAAACGGATAAATAAAAAATAATTGTGAAGACTATCCCTCAAGGGTAATAAAAAGGACTAGCATTAGCTGACTGTGAATATTAAAATTTACAAGGAAGTATGCATTACGATAACCAGCATAAATAATTAATTATCAATACAATAAAAAAGTTCATTAAAAAAAAAAAAAGGAAAGGAAAAAGAAAAAAAATTAATTAGAAACCGAAAGCTACATGAAGTGGTTGTTTTTTTTTCGTCTTTCTGAAATATGGGCTCAAACTGCAAATTGACCATAGAAAAAATGTCAAAAGAAAAGAAATAAATAGAAAAATACGCGAGAGAAAAATTTTGTGCAATTGAAGTTTGAAATAAATTAACTCAGAAAATATCGAAATTCAGAAAAAAGAATAAATTTTAATTAACACCTCAAAAGAAGGATAAATTTTAATTAGAACCTCAAACTAAAGCGACGTGAATGACGTCAATGTGTCTTTAGTTAAAATTAGCAAAAGCTAAACCACAAAAATGAAGTCTAAACCGTTTTTTTATTAAAGAAAAGGAAAAAAAAGGTGGAACAATTAGAAGAAGCATAAGAGAATCAAGGCAAGGGTAATGGCTGCACCGTTCTTTGAATACTTTTTTTTTGTCGAACAAGAAGCAAAAGGTTTTCTTATCAAGTGAATAACGTAGAAGATTATTGGTTAACGCTGACCTTCATAAACAAATGGTTGCGAAGTATTAATGAAGTATTGTGGAGTGTTTTAGCAGAACAATGTTTTATAATAAAAAGAAATAGCCAAGCGCATTTAATAAATTGTAAAGAAAAAAAATGCACTCCAATAAGTTATGAAAAATTTAGAATTCTGCTTAATTCCATAAGCGAATCTGACATGTATAAACAAATGATTGTGAAACAAAAAAATGTCTCCCTAAATGCCTTGATTGTAGCACTGATGTGAACCTGAACTATTATTACATTTTATCTTTTATTCGTGCGTTTAATAAATGATCGAAAAAAAAACAAAAGAAAAAAAACAAGGATCAATGTGTTTGCCTCATTCAAGATATGTTAAGAGGAAGAAGAATACTTTTCCAGTAGCTTATGAATTACGTGCACCCACATGCACCTACATCCCAGCTGTGTTGTGATTGTGCCGACGACGTAAGACGAACTTCCTACTTCCTCGCCGTGGACAGGAGCCGCCGAAGGAGACAGCCACGACATAGCGAGAGGATTGTATTGTAAGTTACTTTAGTTATTTATTCCCCTGTTGTTTTGTGTCCCCGATGAGTAGTTAAGCGCTACAGCTGCCACCGGTGTAGCTGAAAGGAGAAAGGGGGTGTGCATATGTAGGGCCGACGCCAGACGACGACCGACTGACTTACAGTGGACAGACAGACGGCAGACAACCGACGGGACTTTTCTTTTTATTTTATTTTTATTTCTTTGTCAGAAAAAGACAAATACTCAGCCGGCAGTGAAAGTAACGAGTCTCATGACAAAGAAATATATAATTTGAAATCAAAAGAAAAAAAAAAGTTTTTTTTCTGTTTTTTTAATTATTAATTTTTATTTATTCTTTATTTCATAATGTCCCCATGCATAGGTACTAATACCATTCTCTCTTACAAATATCTTATCATCTAAGTAGATTAAGACTTGTTTGTTAATATGATATGAACACAACTGACGTATTTTTGATCGATAAACATACATGGAATCATAATACAATTTGTTGCCAAATAAACCTTTCTAAAGTCATTAATGGTTAGCTTCGCTGTAACACATTCATGAAAACTTTTAATTTTCTTGGTTTCTTTTTTATCTTCGTCGATCTTAAAGGAATACATTTTTGGTCGCAAACCAATGAATTCCCTTTCATTCCATCTTGCATCATTCCTAAAACTTTCTTATTCAATAATGGGAAAACGAAAACATTTTGTTTAGCATATGAGAAGGTATCAATATAATAGTTGATATCATCTTGAATGTCATCATATAAGTCATTGGTTCTCATATAATAAATAAACGAATCCGTACCCATACAATTTAGATTAATATTTTTCTTATATTTGGGCTTCATATAGTCATAATAAAAATTGTACATTTTCTATTTGGATAAATCTAAGGCGGTAAAACCAATGCAAATCGACTCATTTGAATCAAAATTATTTCATCCGAAATTTTGTGTCAACTATGAAAATTTGGTCTCTCGCCACCAACTTTCTACGTTCGCAGACTATTTTAGTAACTTTTCTTTTATCTACTTTTTTCATAGTCTTGCCGTATATGGCAATATTCAAGTATTTGAAAAAATTCTGTTGAAAAGAATTTTAACTAATGTTCTACAGTAACTGTTCAAATCAATGTATTTTTTCAATCAATCTGATTGATTGAATTTAAGGATTTTATGTATCTTTTTTAAAACAACACCATGTTGCATACATTGTTGAAGGTGTATAACTTAACTGGTTTTATCTTTTAAACCTGTTATTAATTTAATAGATTTCATGTGTGAATTTTTTTTTACTTTCAGCACAAAACGGTAAGTCGTGATAGTGTGATAGTCGTGTAACAAACTACTTCCAATATATATCCTATTTCTGAATTATCTTTCACCTCATGTAAATTAAAACATTCCAAATCTTGCAAATCGATCCATTCAAAATTTTTATAGGGAAAACATTGTGAAAAGGCATAACCATATAAATTGTTTACATCCAAGTAAATTAGATAATTTAATTCTTGATTAGGATTGTTAGCTAAAGAATATCTACTAGAAGATTGAACAATGCTTCCACATGTACCTCGAACAACAAAATTAGATTTCTCAATGTCAGTCAATCATTCCAAATCTATTTCTGTTGTCTTCAGTATTAAACCCAAGAGAACCCAGGTGTAGTACAATATTGACAAGAATCTAAATTATAAATATTTTTACATACTTTCGAAAATTTTCAAAGACATCACATAACAACAAAACATCCGCTTTGAAATATAATAGTTAATAGAGTCCGAGGGTTCTAAATTGGAATGTATCCCATACTTTCTTAGCATGCTCATAATCATCTACACTACAAGCATGAGCGAAATGGTAATTGTGTTTCTTCAAGGCAATTAATAATTATAAGGAAGGAAGCCCTTACGTTTCATAACTTGAATTCATTTTTGCTGTGATAACCGAATTTACAATGATTAAATTTGTGTCGGACAAGTGTTCAGCCAGTTTTTGTAAACTTGTTGGTATAACTTTAAATAAATCTAGAAGACGTAGATCAATGAACTCTTTTTCATCTAACACTGTTCTCTTAGATATGGTGATGTGCAATTCCTTATCTTATGGAATAATACTTACGTTACTCTTAACAGCTGAAAGTTCCCCAATAAACAAGTAACAATCATACTCTGAAAGATTACGGAAAAAAATGTTGCAACTTAATATTCTAAATTACACATATTATGAGCAGTATATGCTAAATTACATTTATTATGGGCAGGTCTTCTATAATCACCAATCAAATGACAGTAATCAGCTATTCTCATTTTGAGAGGTAGAAACAACTTCCCACAGATGTGACAAATTGTATCTCTTTTTTGCATTTCCTTTTCAGCATGCGTCAAAGTGTTCATAGGTTTAACTTTACAAAAATAATTATTCTAAATACATGGAACATTTTTAACTAGATTTTGAAAGAAATGACTTGTCGAATTTTCTCCACTTTATATTCTAAATATATCTCAATTTTTATCGAATGCACACTTAACATAATAACTGTAAGCAAAAGGAATATGAAAAATGGTTTTGTATTGATTTGACTTTAGTTGAATTTTCAATATTAACTGATTCTAAAATGCGTCGGCGTAAATAATAATAGGTACGTCCAATTGATGTTTGAAATTTTTAAACCTAAGCATACTATCATCTTTATTAGGGATTTGAGTTACCACTTTTTTACACGCTTGCTTATGTCTCTTCAGAGCATCCACACAGTGAAATTGGTTTAAGTACACATATGTGCATCGTCCTACAATATTTCGTCAATTGTGTTTTGAGCAAACCGTAATTTCCTATACCCACACATCCTAATAAACATTAGAAAAAATATTATCATAATTATTAAAAAAAGAAAATAAAAATTAGAAAATGTTTTTATGTACCAGTTTATCTATCCACCTTGACATTTTCTTAATCCAAATATAATGACATTTTCCATTTTCTATCAACAGCAACAGGTTAACATTATTTCGTTTTTCTTCTTGCGTACGATAGTATGGACCCACAATAAGATCATTTTCAAGACCGAAACATTTACACTTATTTCTGGATTGTGATGGGTTACAACTAAATTAGGCTATCTTAACTAGGTTAGGCGTCACATTTGAAACGTAATAAAATGTAAACCTAGCAATAACTTGTAAAGCGGTAGAGTGCGACAGATCGATAATGCTACACTACTTATTTATACTATATAAATTGTAGAGGAAGAATGGAGAGGGGGGAACGAGTTTAAAAACCGCTACCAAAAAATTTTTTTATTCTTATTTTTGTTTTTATTTTGTGTTTTTATCTTTTTTTAATCACTACTGCTGAATACTTATTTTATTATTCTATTGATTGAAAATTAAAATTATTATTTCGTTCGTTGTTGATCATATATCAATTGTCCTTATGAAAGATCCTATTAACATCTCATCGTCTATGACGTTGATTTTATTGGAGAGTCGGAAAGTCCTGCATTGACATAATTTTCTTTTCATATGCTCTCCACTATATTAAAATTTTTATTCTTTTATTTTTTTTTATAAATGTTACTCAAATAGTGTTGAATGACAGTACACTTTAGAATGTTGTACACTTGTATGCATTATACGCTTTTTATACCCTAAATCTAAACCCGTAAATACGATAATACCTATAAATCTATTAATCTGTATATTTGATAAATCTATTAACTTAACACTAAAAGTACCGCGCGCGGTCAAATGACCGTTTTTAAACTTTGGTTTAAAATTTCTCGCATAAAACGTTATTGTATCATCATGTATGTTATTGACTTTTCCTAAAATATCCATACAAACAATTTTTCAATATTTACAACTTTTTTTAATGTGTATTTTCCGAAAAAAAATTATACCATGTCTAGTCGACCGGGCGCGGTCATTTGACCGCTTGAAAAATTTATGTTATTTATGACTATATTCTTCGATAATCGCTTTCTTGAAATTGTTTTACAGGTCTACAATGTAATTGTAGACAATCTACAATCTAATCAATGTGTCCGACATTCGTGGAATATCAATTTATTAGACAAAATAAATAATATCGACGAGGATTGTTCGGAAGATGATCAAGAAGTTTACGATGTTGATGATGATACTGCAGAAAATTATTGTGACTTATTTGACAGTGATACGGACGAAGAGAAAATTTTGAATATACGAAGAGGACAAGAAAGAAAGACATTTATAGTTAGTTCCGAAAGTACAAATGAGGAAGAAATTGAAACTGCTATGAACGGAACTGTTTGGAAAATAATAAAAGAAGGGTCTAACAGTGGAAGAACATTGATTTATAATATTTTCAAGGAAATATCAGGACCAACAGGATACGCTAAACGAAATATTATGAAGGGCAGAGCATTTTCAGCATTTTCTTTGATTACTGATCATAAAATAATTGAACATGTAAGAGAATATACGGAATCAGAGGCTTTTCGAGTGTTGAAAACGAAATGGAATTTATCTATTGCACAATTATATGCTTTTATTGGACTTCTATATGCACGCGGCGCATATGAGGCTAAAAATATTAATTTGTCATATTTATTGAACAAAAAATGGGGTCCGTCCTTTTTCTCGACAACTATGGGTCGAAATGACTTCGCAGAAATCATGAGATTTATTCGATTTGACAACAAAAATCCACGAAGCCAACGCTTACAAAACGATAAGTTCGCATTGATTTCTCAAGTTTGGTATAAATTTATCGAAAACAGCCAGAACTGTTATAAACCAGGAGCATATCTTACTATAGATGAACAATTGTTTCCTACAAAAGCACGTTGTAGATTTACTCAATATATGCCCAATAAACCGGACAAATTTGGCATAAAATTCTGGTTAGCTTCCGATGTAACTAGTAAATATATAGTAAACGGCTTCCCATATTTGGGAAAAGATGAAGGGAGAGAATCATCAATCCCATTTGGAGAATTTGTAACTTTGAAATTAGCAGAACCATATACGGGCCATGGGAGAAATATAACAGTTGACAATTTTTTTACAAGCGCGTCACTAGCGAGTAAACTTCTAGCAAAAAGAACTACTCTTGTTGGAACTATCCGGAGAAATAAAAGAGAGCTACCAAAATTAGCGAGATAGGCAAAGGATAGTATGACACGCTTCTCAACAATATTATACAAATCGAAAGATTTTATTCTTACAATTTATAAAGCTAAACCAAATAAAAAAGTATTGATACTTAGTTCAATGCATTCATCCGTTGAAATTGAAAAAAATGAAAAGAAAAAGAAATAAGCCAAGAATGCTGATCAAAAACAATAATAAACACAAACACTGTTTCTTCTGAACGGAGATCTTGTCAAATAAGATATTGCAAAGTCAACAAAACAAACAAAATTTGTATAAAATGTAAAAAATACGTATGTGGAAACTGTGCAACACAAAATGCTGTAATTTGTAAAAAATGTGATGAAAATGCATAAAAGTAAATAAAACATACAACATCGAAAAGCGGGGAACGAGTTTTTAATGTAGCATCAGAAAAATATTTTGTTTATATATGTTTTTTTGACGCGGTCATTTGACCGCTCACGGTAGAAATAGGTATACATGGAATGCTTTAGTGTTAATCTAAAAATATTTTCATCACCACTTGTTTTTCTTACCTTTACAGTTTATTCGTTATGTTTTGTTACACAAGAACCTTCCTATGCTGTACGACATACTCAGTTTAGAACTTAGTTCACAATACTCTGGATAAACCAAAATTTATATTGATAATACCTTGCCAAATACAAAAATATTTCTAATTAATTGTTCTCTCTTTTTCACATGGTTAATATCAAAAAAATTTGTATACGCACACACACACACACAATAGTTCTAGATTTATGACCAAAAAATAAATGTAGGTCATCCATCAATAACATTAAGATAGGTCAGTGAACCAACAAAAAAACCGCAAAACCGCAAAAACACCACAAAAAGCAATTACCTATATACACCGCAGGGTATACTTGGTTTACAACAAGGTTTGCAACACCACCGCAAAGACATACTCGAAAAACTTGACACGAGCACCCATTTCGAAGGCTCGGGTCCAAGAAACTCACACGGGCACCATTCAGAGCACATTCGGACACCTTCAGGTAGGCGAATCACGTCTTTTTTCTACCCCAACATCAAAAATGTCGTGACTCAGGCCACAAAACAATTTTTTTCCAATGTAGGCGATTGTAAAAGTCACTATTTTATATTACCTACTGTCGAGTAGTGTTTTTCGTGAGCTTTAAGTCTTTTTGA